TTTGTGACTTTAATTTTCCCTTTGATTAGAAAGGATAACTAGCGTGCTAAGGCTATTTTGTAGCCACACTCGCTCGTTTCCCTTATCGAAAGGGGACTCTCAAATAAATGTACCCTATCACTAGCATGAGATGCAAGACCTAAAGTGAGGGGAAAGGGGAATCGAGGAGCATGCCAAATGATAAAACTAAGGAAAAATGCATGATATGTAGTGAACAGGCAAATAATGCATTAATGAAAAACAAAGGAAAAATCCTATTGGGTCTAGCGTTGGACTAGCCCTTTCTATGAATTCCTACTAGCATTAGACTAGTGGAAACGATAAAAGAAGCCACAACTAGCGTTGGACTAGTGTGGTGACGTACATTCATCCATTCCATTCATCCACACTATGGAAAGCAAGTAGACATACCAAATACTCATAAACACGTAGCACGTAACATTTAGCATGCTCGACTAGATGCAAGAGCCTAATAAAACGAGTAACACTTAACACGTAGGCATGCAACCAAGCTAATGAACCTATTACATTCACTAACTAAAACAAAAGGGGAAGGGGAAAATGGACCAAATTGCTCGCCACAGCCCTATCTATTACAAGCCAAGAGGTGTACACATGCCCCATTAAAAGAATAACTTAATGAAAACAAAAAGTAAATGACATAAGTAAAAGGAATTAAAGAAAAGCTAGGAAAGCAAAGTAGACATGCAATTCACTTAGCACGTTGAGTCACATAGGAGAGGAACAAAAGGGATAAAAGAAATTATACCTCCCCGTTGGCGATATTAATGAAATGAACAAGAACCAAATTGGGCTAAGGTCGCCAAATAACAGGATAACTTGGGCTAAAATCTTCCAAAGCAAAGGATTAATGCACCAATTTAGTGATAAAACATAGCCAAACAAATTAAACCAATCAATCATCAAAATCATCTCAAAACACAATCAAGTAATGCATGGATTCCAAGAAATAGGGATTACCCACCAAATTCTAAAGTAGACATTACTGTTGACTCATTAACAATCCGTCAAGTCCAACCAAATGTTATGGAATTTCAAAAATCTAAGATCAAGTAAGGGTCAATGAATGATTTCACTCGCCTTTTAAGACCCAAAAGCAACCACTAATCAAAATCAATGCTAAATGAATCATTCAGGAGCTTCAAAGGTCCCAAAATAATAAAGATCAATTAATGATTCAAATGCAAACATCTTAGTACCTAATTGGAAGGGAGAAGGAACATGAGGGGTCAAGGCACCTCAAATAACCCACTTAAACATGAAATTGACACATTGAGAGCATTTAAACAATTAAACAACCCATGAATCATAAAATTAGACTCCAATTGAAAGAGAAAAGAAAAATTGAAAGATCATTTTGATGGGTTTCTTCCATAAAAAGCACGTTGAAACTCAAGAGATTAGAGTGGATAAAAATCCAATTGGAAATAAGAGTTCTAAACCAAAACGGTGATTCAAAAGTAAAATCTATCAAAAGTAATCACTAAACCCCTCAAAAATGACATGGAAAAACAATTCATTAGAGTTAAACGAGAAGATTAGTCATGATCTTAATCGAACGAAAAATCCAACTATAAGCTCCCAAAACCACTAAAATTTTCTTATTTCATTCTAAAAAATTCACCAAAAGTCTATCCATGAATCAAACAAAAGCATGCCAAGGATAACTAGCATGTTAAAGGGACAAAATTGAAGAATTTTCCAATCTTATGGGCTTAAGTGAAACAAAAGGAGACTTGAGGGACCAAAATGTACTTTTCAGAAAATTATTTCATGCAACTCATGCAATCCACGAAACAAACTTCTGCAAATTTTCCAACAATGTTTCTTGCAATTCTTATGTTCATTTTAATGCCATTTTCATCCAGACTAAGTTAGTATTTTTATCCTAACATCAAATGCCTTGATTCCAAAACAGCAAAACACAACAATCAACGTCCAAAACAAGCCGAAGGAGAAAAAGAAAAGCGGATGAATGGAAGCATGCAATTTTCTGAAAAATTTTCTGGTATTGCTTCTATCCATTCTATCATGCAAATAAGTTCATCAAACAGCAAGTTTCTACTCATTTATCCTCAATTAAACACGCAACTTCACTGAAGGGTTGGAACAAAGAAATAGAGTTGACCATTAGGGGAAAAAAAACTAACAGCCATAGAAGGAACGAAAATGCAGCAAAACCTTTTGTAATTCGGCACTTTGCAAGAATCAGTCTCCATGCACAACCAAAACTAAATACAACTATGCAAACCTCTTACTTTACATCATGAAAACTTTCAGATTTAGACACCAAAAGCCGGACAACAAGCATGCAAAATCTAAATGATTCAAGCAACTTCAAGCAAAGTTTACAAATTTTCTGCAACATTGATATCTTATGTAACACGATCCTCCTTTCAAAAGGCAACAATTAGCATTTCAAGCAAAACAAAAAACAGACTGGAATCAAAATATCAAACACCAGACTTGCCATTCATTTTCAATACAAAGACTCAAAATAAACATGCAAATCTGGAAGTAAAAAAACTCAACTTCCAACTATATTATCCAAGACATACATAGCCAACAAAATTTGCAGCCAGCGGCAACCTCTTCGAACCCAAAACAAATAAGATCTTATGCGTCCTATCATCAAAAATCCAGCCATAAATCATGCATCTCCCAGAAATTTCAAACCCAGATTGTGCATAAAAATCACCAAAAGAAACAGCCATGAACATTAGAAACGAACACAGCTAAACGCAAATCCCTTCTCCTCCAAAATCAAACCAGATTCACGGATAGAAACTCACATGAAGAATGCAATCCAGTGCAAAGACTAAGACTTTCAGCATACAAACATAACTCAGCAACTAACAAACAAATCCAAAGTAAAAAAAATGTTACCTTTAAACCTTGACCGAATCTTGATGTACTTCAAAAGATGAAATCTTTGTTCCTTCGTCTCTCCCGCAGATGCGCTTCCTGATTCTTTGCCTTGCTTCAACGAATCCAAAACCTTCTTGCTGCCCAAAGTTTCCTGAACCAACACCTCTAAAACTCACTGCTTTTCTCTTAATCCACCGTAAATCTTCCTCACTCTTTTATCACTCTTTCTCAGTCGCTGTTTTTCTGCTTTCTTCAGCTGCCCACTCTCTGTCTTTTCCCTTCTAGCTTTCTCTCTTTGTTTTTCCAAGTTTCGGCTGTCACCCCTCTCTCGTATGTCCTCTACCCAGAATTTTCTCTAGCCGTCAACCTCCTTAAACCCCAGCCGTTAGTCTTTTCCCAAACTCTATCTTTGTCGCTGCTTTTTTCTTTTTAGATTTCGGCCGTCACTCTTCTGTTTCTTGTTTTCTTTCTATAGCCCTTAACTCTCTGTCGCTACCTCCTTTCTTTCCCTAACCGTAAGAAAAACTCTCCATCCTCTCTCTAGTTTTGCCGTCACTTTTTATCCTTCCACCTCCCTTTGCGGCTGCCTTCTCCTTTTCTATTTATATGGGACTCCTCAACCCTAAAACCCAGTCCTTTCTTCTATAATTTGCTGCCAAGGGGCTGCCCAGCCTTTCCTTGCAAGCTGCGACAAAACGCAGCTTGCATGCCGCAAATCCTCTTTTTTTTTTAACTTAATAATTTAATAAAAGTAAAACTAAATAATAATAAAAACAACAATTTTAATTACAAATACATCAGAATAAACAAACTAAAACAACAAGATTGCCATTTTCAATCTTTTTCTTTCATTTTTCATTTTTCATCATTTTTCACTTTTTTTTCTTTTTCTTTAAGAAAACATTGTATTAAAACAACTCAACATATTTCTTGAATATTTTTCTTTCTTTTTTTTTCTTTTTTTCTAGAAATTCTACGCTAAGAATAAAAACTAAACTAAAAAAAACTAAAAACTAAAAAGTGAATAAAAATAAAATAAAAAACAGAAAATAAAAAGTAAATGAAATTACACCAAAAATTTGGTGTCTACAGTTTGCCCCTCTTTGTCTGAGTTTTGGAAAAACTTGAGACAAAGAAGTAGACACCAAATACTTACCTGCATTATTCGGCTGCAAAGTGATTCCAATGAACAAGAATTCTAAAACGGGACTGACCCGAATATGAATTTAAAACGGGACTGACTCGAACAGGAAATTAAACGGGACTTACCCGAACAGAAATTTAAACGGGACTGACCCGAACAAAAATTTAAACGGGACTGACCCGAACAGAAATTTAAATGGGATAGACCCACGGGATAGACTCGAACAGAAATTTAAATGGGATGGACCCACGGGATAGACCCGGACAGAAATGTAAATGGGATAGACCCACGGGATAGACCCGGACAGAAATTGTAAATGGGATAGACCCAGACAGAAATGTAAAATGGGATAGACCCACGGGAAAGTAAATGAAGTGCTCACTGGTGGGACTGACCCATGTTCAGTGGCAAAATAAAAATGAAAATGCTCACTAGTGGGACTAACCCACGGCTAGTGGCGATGAAAACGAAATGCTTACCGGTGGGACAAAACCAGCTCCAGTAGTAATGAAAATGAAATGCTTACTGGCGGGACAAACCCACGCTCCAGTAGCGATGTAAATGAAATGTTGGTATGTTTGAAAAAGCCGTATAAGACTTGCTTGGAAATTATCCAAAGATTTTCCCCAGTGTAATGAATTGGTCAGTGCGATAGAACCCAGTTCTGCTAAGGTTGGCGGGATAAAATCCAGTTCCAACGTGATAAGCGGTCAGCGGGATAGAACCCAGTTCTGCCGAGGTTGGCGGGACAAAACCCAGTTCCAACGTGATAAGCGGAGAGCTTTCTGGCAGGACAAACCCACGCTCCAAACCCAGTAAATGAATTGTTTAGACAGTCGGACAGTGGGATCAAACCCGAGCCTGCCGTGATGAACTTGATTTGATTTTTGACTTTTTGATTTTTTTGATTTTTTGATTTTTAATTTTTTGAGGCTGATGAGGCCTCCCCGTTGGCGATATTAATGAAATGAACAAGAACCTACGACAGACCGATCAGCCTCTACGACAGATACTCACCAAGCCCGAGGTCTCGAGCAGGATGACCAAATGGGCCGTTGAGCTGGCCGAGCACGACATCGGCTATCGGTCCCGTACTGCCATTAAGGCTCAGGCCTTGGCAGACTTCCTCGTTGAGGGGGCTAGCTTGGCCATGACTGGGCAGGACTCTCCGCCCAGTGGGGCGCGGTCGGGAGAGCCTTGGATTCTATTCGTGGACGGGGCCTCCAGCAAGGAAGGGAGCGGAGCTGGCCTACTGCTCATCTCGCCTACCGGGGAGGAGCTGACCTACGCTCTCCGATTTGACTTCCCCGCATCCAACACTGAGGCCGGGCTTGCGGATAGCCCACCAGATGGGTATAACCGCGGTCAAAGTCAGGAGCGATCCCAGCTCGTCGTCCTCCAAGTTCGCGGGGAATACGAAGCCAAGGAGGATGTCATGAAGAAATACCTGGCCAAGGTACGGGAGGTAATAGCCCTGTTCGACATTTTTGAAATCGAGCGGGTGCCGATATCCCAGAACAAGCGCGCGGACGCCCTGTCAAAGCTGGCGTCCTCATCATTTGCCCACCTGAGCAAGGAAGTCTTGGTAGAGGTGGTCAAGCAAAAGAGCATTGATCAGGTCCAGGTTTTGGCCATAGACAGCTCGGCCACCTGGATGACCTCCCTGATGAACTTCCTCAACTCGGGTGTCCTGCCCGGAGACAAAACGGAGGCTTACCGACTCCAGTTCAGAGCTGCTAAGTACGCCTACGCTGGAGGGACCCTCTACCGGAGGTCGTATCTGTCCCCCTGGCTAAAGTGCATGACTCCAGAGGAGGGCGACTACGTCCTTCGTGAAGTTCACGAGGGCTTATGTGCGGCCCATGTGGGGTCCCGAGTACTAGCCAAAAAGTGCCTTCTCCTGGGCTACTATTGGCCCTCAGTGTTCCAAGATGCCGCGGCCCTGGTTCAGAAGTGCCGAGCTTGCCAGGTGCACGCCCCACTGTGCCACCAGCCAGCCCGGAAAATGGTACCCATCCATAGCCCCTGGCCCTTCGCCCAGTGGGGGATAGATCTCCTGGATCCTTTCCCTCGAGCCCCGGGGAGATACGAGTATCTCGAGGTAGCCATCGACTACTTCACGAAATGGATGGAAGCGGAGCCTCTGGCCACTATCTCTGGGAGGCAATTCAGAATTTCTTCTGGAGAAACATAGTCTGCCGCTTCGGGATTCCGCGTGTCTTAATATCCGACAATGGGCGCCAGTTCGCCGAAAACCCCTTCAAGAGCTGGTGCGCAGAGCTCGGAATCAACCAGCACTTCACATCGGTCGGCCACCCCCAGGCCAACGGCTAGGTAGAAAATGTTAACCGAACCATTCTCCAAGGACTAAAGATTAGGTTGGAACTGGCCCAGTCTAACTGGCTAAACGAACTCCCTAGTGTCCTCTGGGCTTACCGCATTATGCCTAGGACAGCTACCCATGAGACCCCGTTCTCTCTGACTTACGGGGTAGAGGCGGTGGTACCCGCGGAGATCGGCCTCCCCTCGCCTCGGACACAGAACTTCGTTGCGTCATCCAACGAGGAAGAGCTGAGGTGCAACTTGGACATGTTGGAAGTCAAGCGTGAGGAGGCGGCGATAGGATGGCTAAGTACAAAAGCCAACTCGCTCGCTATCACAACGCAAAAGTAAGGAACTTGCTGTATCGACCGGGAGACCTCGTCTTAAGGAGAAACTCCATCAGCCGAGCTCACAGCTCCAACAAGCTCGACCCAAATTGGGAAGGACCATACAAGGTCCTCGAAACGAGCCTAGCTGGTTACTGCAAGCTCGCGAAAATGGATGGATCAGAGGTACCCCGCACTTGGCACTTCTCCAATCTGCGACTGTTTGTAGCGTAGGTTAGACTAGGGTGTTTGGCTGTCTGTTTTTTTGAATCTAAATTTCAATTTTATCATTCAATAAATGTTCGACTTTCAAGTTTTAAATTCATTGTGATCGTTTGCCTTTTAAGTTCGAATCCTACACTAGCACACTCAGCGCTCCCTCACTAAATGTCCTAATGGGGGGCTAGGGGGATAAATGATAATGGATGTGTGATGCCTTTAAAAGTGTGGGGGTAGTGTGGGAGTGCTCGACCCCAAGAGGTCGGCACAACTGAAAACTTTGAAGGAGTCGGAAAGTTTAACGCTCAGCCCAGGAGGTCAACCCCAAGAGGTCGACACGGGTTAAAGCTCCAAAGTGGAGGCTCGACCCCAAGAGATTGGCCCGGCTCCAAGCATTAAAATCTGAGGGTTCTGCATTCGACCTAGGAGGTCGGCATGAATACCTCTAAGGCTCGACTCAGGAGGTCGGCATGAACAGTTCTAAAGTATGGCGCTCGACCCGGGAGGTCGGCACGACGAGGAACAATGTGATGCAAGTTCAACGCTCGGCCCAGGAGGTTGGCGTGAATGCCTTCGAAGTGTAGGGCTCGACCCCAGGAGGTCGGCACGGCTCTAAGACCTTAGGACTTGGAAGTCCGATGATGCTCGACCCCAAGAGGTCGGCGCGGCGTGAACTATTTTGGGTTGGTTAGAATTCGGGAGTTCGACGCTCGACCCAGGAGGTCGGCATGAACACCTTCAAAATCGGACGTTCGACCCAGGAGGTCGGTAGAAATATCCTTAAAGTTTGGCGCTCAGCCTCAAGAGGCTAGCGCGTCCCCTTGATAGGTCTATTTGGTGCTCGACCTGGGTGTTCGGCACCAGGTTTTAATAATCTGATTGCCTTTGGCAATTTAGCTGTTGGATTAAAAAGGGGATATATACGGTGCTTGACCCAGGAGGTCGGCGCATGGCTTTAGTTGCTAAAGTTGGGCGCAGGCGAGAACTGCAAGGAAATTTCCTTCGAATTTTATATATGCATTCAAAGCCTATCTATTACAAAGTTTCTAAGTCGGTAGTCTTCTTCGAGTTTCATATATGCATTCGAAGCCTATCTATTACAAAGCCTACCGGGCTATAAGAGAAAGACAGTTCGGTCCCTGTTCTTCTTGCTGGCAGCCTGCTTCGAGCAGGGGCTGAAGGTACACCTTAAACATGTTGAGAGGAGTATGGTGAAGGCTATTCAAGGTAGCCGTATAGGCCCTAGGGCAGGGGACCTATCTATCTCGGATGGACCTTCAAGAGCATTTTCAACTAGAGCATGGTCACATCCTTATAAGAAGATGGAAAGGGTTTCTGGAGTGGTTGCTGCCCTAGGCTACCGGCCCCTTCCCGGGAGCTCTGCCGGGAGCCTCGTCCTCCTACAGGGGAACCTCCGCCAGATCGGCTCCCACATCACTCCTGCCTGCTAGCTCCTTCAGGGCATGCCCCTTGCAATACCCATCAAAGAGCCAGTCTACCATCTCCTCGGCGTTAGGGTTGTACTCCTTGAAAGTGGCCAAGTCGAAGCCAGGCAGGCCGAGCTCCTTGACCTTATCCAGGGCTCGCATGAAGCCAATCTGGAGGATGGGCTCGTTGAGGAGGGCGACGTCCTCGGCAAACTGTTCGGAGGAGATGAACTCCCGAACAGCCTTCTTCCGCTCCCGGCTGACGATGCCGGAGAGCTCGATGGCGTGGTCTTCCTTTAGCTTGGCCACGCCGGCCTTCTCTTGGTCGAGCTCTGACCTAGCGGAGACGAGCTGGACCTGGGCCGTTTCCGGCCGTTTCCAGCCCTTTCTCGGCCTTGCCCAGCTTGGCATTAAGGGAGTCCGACTCCTTAAGGGCCTGGGTAAGCCTCTGCTCTGTTTCCCGATTCTTCTTTCGCAATTTCTCCAAATCGGGAGACAGCTCGGAGAAATGAATCGCCAGGGCAGCGCCAGCGGCGTTGGCCTGAGGAGGAAGGAAAACAGGTCAGTTCGTTACGCTACCTACCCCAAACACAGAGGCGCAACTGGCCCGAGGGCTGGAAAACTTACTTGAGCCTGGGCGGTGTAATACGCGTCCTGGAGCTCGGAGGGGCTAGCCAGCTCCATCCACCTCCTGTCGTGCGGGAGGACCGAGCCCGCAATCAGCTCGCTAGCCACCTCGGGAAACTGGGTTCGGTCATTGATGGAAAGCCCCCAGGACGGACAGAAGTGGCGGGGGTCGTGCATAGTAGGGGACTGGCTCGGCTTCAGGGGGGCTATGTGGCAAAGTACCACAAGCTCGGGGGAGGCGACTCCCGAGCATGCTCCTTCGCGGAGCCAATGCCCAGGTGGTCTGGCCCTCCCGATGTCAGCGGGAGGGGAGGGGGCTGTGCTGGAACCAGTACGAGCTTCTTCCCGGGCTGGGAGGGCTCGTCCCCTCGACCCCTCTTCTGCTCGGTCGCCTTCTTCTTGTTGTTGGTGGCCTTTTTGGAGGGGGTGGAGGTGTCCTGCGCTTCCTTCTGGGAGGCTTGGCCGCCTCCCGAGGTTGGAGCCGCCCCAGGGGCTTCCTTGGCCGCCTCTGGCTGAGGGGTGGGGGTGACCTCTTCAGTGGACGTGCCCAGCAGTTTGGAAAGCCTCCTCACTGCGAAAAACATCGTTGGGTCAGCCAAAACAGGTCGGTAGGAAAACATATTACATGTATGATAATGCAACGAGCTACAGGGACAGAGTCGGCGTTACAGGCGTCGAGGTCGATAGGGGAGGCCATCACCTCGCCAGGGGTCCCGGACAACGTCCCCATTAGCCCAGTCGCAGAAATCTGCTTGCTGGAGAACGTTGCCGCGTGAAGCTTTACCCTAGAGCTCACCAGCTCGATGAGGATCTCGGAGTCCAGGTCCTCCGGGTAGGGATCGGTTTTGACCTCCCCGATCTTCCACACGGTGGCGTCAAAGCCGATGGATTTGACAAAGAAGAAGTCCCCTTTCCAGTTCTTGATGGAAGAGGGGAACTTGTAGAACAGGTCCTGGGTGCCCTTATCCCCCCGACCTTGGTTTCCGGTCCGGCGAGAGAAGTAATACCACCCAAGAAGGGAGAACTTGAGGATGTAAGCGGCTCGGAAGAGGGAGAGAGAGTAAGGGATGGAGCAAATTCGACAGTAAATCCGGAATCCTATGATGATCCTGATTGATTTGGGATGAACCTGGGTGGTCTTGAGCCCCCAATAGCTCAAGATCTCAGCCAGGGCTGCAGGGATCGGTAGTCGGAGCCCCCCCGAGTAGCTGCTCCTTGTAGATGGCTACGAAACCAAAGGGAGGTCGGTTGGCTCGATCGCTGGGCCCGGCAGCCCTTGACTCGAAGGCTAGAGGGATGGAAAAGGACCTGACCAGCTCGGCCACCTCCTCGGGTGAGATGGTGACCTCTTCGTGATCGGGGCGGCCGAAGTCGAGCTCGGCATCATCCTCCTACTCAGGGGCAGGAGCCCCCTCGGGGGAATCCCTATCCTCCCCAGCTCCTCCCTGGGCTCCGCCAGGGGAGTCATGGGGGGACTTGGGGGAAGGGGTGGAGTCGGCCTGTTGCTCGATATAGGCATCGAGCTCGACCGCCTCCTTTAGGTCCCAGGCTGAAGGAGAGTGGGCAGAGGGAGAGCTCATGATAGCAATGGGCTCAAGTAAGTCAGGAATTGACACATTGAGAGCATTTAAACAATTAAACAACCCATGAATCATAAAATTAGACTCCAATTGAAAGAGAAAAGAAAAATTGAAAGATCATTTTGATGGGTTTCTTCCATAAAAAGCACGTTGAAACTCAAGAGATTAGAGTGGATAAAAATCCAATTGGAAATAAGAGTTCTAAACCAAAACGGTGATTCAAAAGTAAAATCTATCAAAAGTAATCACTAAACCCCTCAAAAATGACATGGAAAAACAATTCATTAGAGTTAAACGAGAAGATTAGTCATGATCTTAATCGAACGAAAAATCCAACTATAAGCTCCCAAAACCACTAAAATTTTCTTATTTCATTCTAAAAAATTCACCAAAAGTCTATCCATGAATCAAACAAAAGCATGCCAAGGATAACTAGCATGTTAAAGGGACAAAATTGAAGAATTTTCCAATCTTATGGGCTTAAGTGAAACAAAAGGAGACTTGAGGGACCAAAATGTACTTTTCAGAAAATTATTTCATGCAACTCATGCAATCCACGAAACAAACTTCTGCAAATTTTCCAACAATGTTTCTTGCAATTCTTATGTTCATTTTAATGCCATTTTCATCCAGACTAAGTTAGTATTTTTATCCTAACATCAAATGCCTTGATTCCAAAACAGCAAAACACAA